GACATTCCTTGGATTTGGACTAAGAGAGTAACGTTTCCTCACTTGTTGCACTTCCCTACGGTTCACAACCAACTTTACCACACATTTTTTTTCGATTCGACAAGTCAAGATTGTTAGCTAGGGGGAGCAACACCCCTTGTGAAGCCTTCTCATTAGTGGTTAAACCGTTTACTTTTCCAATTGCTTTAGTCTTAAATCGTAGTTTCAACCAAAAACCATTTGCTAGATAATGTTTCATACAATTGAAGTAAGGGTACATGGATCGGCCCGAGTTTGACTTTTAAAACATACTTGCCCTATATTGCACGCGGTTAAGGTTTATACTTGGGTCTTAATTGGGGTTTTTATTGTGATATTCGGGATGAGTCAAGTTTTTGGCACCATTGTCAGAGACCTTCGGTCCGTTATTTTGGAAAGATTGTTTGGTGTTAATCTATTGTTTACTTTGTGCTTGTTGTGTGAATCTTGCTTGTGTTAGACGAGTTGTGTTTCTTTGAAGTGTGTGTAGGAGGGTGTGTGACCCGGAGTAATCCGATACATTTAGCGCCACTAGACGGGAATCTCAACTGCACTCTCTGACTCTTGGCTCGTGAGAGGGTGCTGGCAGAAGCAAGGATAAAGGAGAGGGGACAACCACAAGTTGGTCCTGAAGTTGAAGAATTTCTAGTTGAGGAAGAGTTTGAATCAGAAGAAGGTAGTGAAGCCGAGATGGCGGACAATCAACATGTCCAAGATGAAGAGGAGCAACCTAGAACCATGGGCTACTATACGGTCCCACGGGTGGCGGATATTCAACCTACCATTTTGAATCCACCTGTGGCCGCCAACAATTTCGAGATCAAGCCCGACTTTGTCACAATGATCCAAATTAATGTTCAATTCCATGGTCTTAGAGACGACTCTCAGATGGAGCATGTGCAAAGGTTCATTGAGATTGGGGGAAGTTTGAAGGTCAATGGGGTGCAAGAAGAGGCAATGAAGTTGAGGCTATTTCCTTACTATATTGCGGGAAATGCTCTCAGGTGGCTCAACAATAGACCACCCCTCTCGATTACCTCATGGGATGACTTTCTCAACAAGTTCATAGCTCGATATTGTCCACCTTCCAAGACGACAGAATGGCGTAAGAAGATCACCCATTTTGAACAAGGAGAGGATGAGACATTGAGGGATGCACGAGAGAGGTAATCTGACTATTTCCTCCAATGCCCACATCACAAATTTTAAGAGCAATTTCGGATTGAGACTTATTATGGCGGTCTACACCATGAGGACAAGATTCTCATTGACTCTCTATGTCAAGGGAAGTTGATGAACAAGACACCACCCAAAGTCACTTAATTTCTTTAAGATATGGCGACAAAAGGGTATGATTGGGGTTTAATGAGAAGTGTAAAAAGGGATATCGAGAGAGGAATAGGTTCGGTGGAAGTGAGTCCTCCACTTGCTGCCAAGATCGACCAATTGATAGATGCAATCCTTGAAGAAAAGAAGCAAGGGAAGAAGCCGTTGATGGCGTGTAATTGGTGTTCTAGTGCCAACCACGAGATTTTGGAGTGCCAATTGATGAAGAAAGCAAGCACCCCCGAGGAGCAGGTGAGTTTCATCGCCAAGACCCCTATAGAAACACTTACAACCCGGGGTGGAGAAACCATCCAAATTTCTCATGGTCTTCCCTAAGCAATCCAAGACCCCCTTGTTTTCAAGGACCGACGAGGACTTATCAACCAAGGCGTCCTTTCATTCAAAAAAGGCCACAATTTCAAAGATCGAACTTCCAACAACCGTTCCAAGCTCAAGGTGGTCAAGGGTTCCAACAAAAACCCGATAAGTTTACAAAGCTTGAAGACCCAGTGACCACCTTTGTGAGTACGAGCACTCAAAAGTTTGAGAAGATTGAACAATTCATGGATTTAGCAAATACCAAGTTTTCTTCGGTTCAGGCGGGTCTAAGGAGTCATCAAGCGAGTCTTCAAAACTTGGAGACCCAAATCGGCAATCTTGTCGAGATCCTCACCGAGAGACCAAGGGGAGCTCTCCCTTCCCAAACTATTTCCAACCCTAAAGATCAAAATGCTTGGTTGAATGCTATTACTTTGAGGAGTGGGAAGGTGACTCCGGAAGTTGTTGCTAAGGAAGTGGTTGAAGAGAAGACTCCTCCAACGGTCGACGATCAGGAAAGCACTGAAGGAAAGGAGGGAGAGACTAATAAGGCATCAACGACACCACCACTCGTGGCTGAGTACAAGCCTCCTCTTCTTTTCCCTACAAGGGTGCACGAGGACAAATTAGAGGCGGGGTGTTGAAATTTCATGGAGATGCTCAAGAAGCTGCATGTTACGATTCCTATCTTGGAGGCAATGGCACATATGTCAAGGTATGAAAAATGCCTCAAGGGGCTTCTTGCAAAGAAGCAAAAACTTGAAGACCTCGCCACCGTCATTTTGGGCGAGGAGTACTCGACCTTCATCCAAAACAAGTTTCCTAAAAAGCAACAAGATCCAGGTAGCTTCACTATCCCTCTTTGCATCAGAACTCACCACATAGAAAACTCCTTGGCGGACTTAAGAGCAAGCATAAATGTGATGCCTTATAAGCTTTACAAGAAATTGAACCTACAAGAATTGAAACCGACTAGACTTAGTGTCACATTGGCCGATCTCTATGTCATTAGTCCTAGGGGTATTATGGAGGACGTTCTATTGAGATATTGCGGAGGACGTTCTAGTGAGAGTTGGCAAATTCTACTATCCGACCGATTTTGTTGTCCTTGATATTAGTGAAGATGCGGATATGTCACTCATTCTAGGGCACCCCTTCCTTGCCACCGCCAAGGATTTAATTGATGTTAATGAGAGTACTTTGATTTTGAGAGATGGCGAGGATAAAATTACCCTTTCGATTGACCCTAAAGTGAAGCATGATGATGATAAGGAAATGGAATTGAATGTTATGTTGGAAAGTGGAAGCGATGTGAAACAGGAACTCAAGGAGGGTACCAAACCCGAAGGAAAGAAAAAGAAGGCTTGGCGAGCAAGGATGGATCGTGCTCTTACCCAAAACAAAGACAGGGGTAAGGCGAATGCGAAGGTGCCCAACTAGGAAGACCATCCTTTGGAGTCTAATTCGGGAGGTGACAAGCCTCGCCCCGGGATAGTGGTGGATCCACTCTCGGCGGCCTCATGCTCTAAAGCACAAAAGATCCGCAACGTCGAGCTAGCAACATTAACCTAGCGCTTGTTGGGAGACAACCCAACGGCGGTTTGTTTTCTTTTCCTTATTTTCTCTTTTTGTGATTGAGTAATGAGTTCAAATGGTCGATTGGTTATCATTGTGCCAAAGTTTGTGTCTGAATGATTGGATTTGATGTGTTTGAAGTAGGGGCACGACTTATTAGATCGAGTCACAAAAATATTGGAAATGCCCTATTTTCTATCAGTTCACGGTTTTATCCCTATTTTCACGATCTTAGCGATCGTGAAAATCAGGTGGAGACCATGATCTCAATGGGTGGATCCACTTTTCAAAACTCACCGTTTTTGCCCCATTCACGGTCTGGGAGTTATGTTCACTATCTTAGCGACCGTGAAAATTAGCCTCCAACCATGAACCTCGTGATCGGGCTATATAAGCTCGTGAACCCTTCTTCTTCACTTCACACTGCCCCCTCGCTGGATTTCTCTGAAATTTGCCGGAAAACTGCGACATTTGTTTTTTGTCATTGATTTCGAAGACTTCCGGTCATCCAAATCAAAATCCAAGCTCAGACCCATAATCCCCATGTCCGGGAGCACCTTCGTCGAAGTTTTGAGGCGCTTTGGCTCGAATGTTTTCCTGGTGTGCGATTTTTGAAGAGCTTCCGACGAAGCTCCGGTGAGCTCCAGTGGTCAGTTTTTTGGCCAATTCTAAACACCCTCGCCTTCCTCTTCGACCCTACTTGTGTCTTCAGATATGTTTCAAACTTTCGCCTTGTTAATTTTGAAGAATTGGGTTACAGTTCTTAGGTGAGGAGAACTGGGTTAATTTTGTATGAATATTGAAATTAGGTGAGGGGTTGGTCGATTAGGATAGTTTGAATGATGCATGATGCGAATTCGAGCTTAATTGAGCCTGGGTGGGCTCGAATTGAGGAAAATGCCCACCAAGCACAATTTTTATTTGAATGAATGTTGATCTTCTTGTGTGAATGATGGTTGGTAGCCATTGGTGCATGGTTTAGGTTCGAACTTGTTGTGAGGATGAACTATGAAACACCTAGAACCATGCCTCAGTGAGCTTTCTTTGCAATTGAGCTTAATCATGTGGGAATCAATCTTGTGAAAAGCCTTGAAGGCATAAGACCTTAGTGGAATCCTAAGTGTGTGAGAATTATTTTTCTCCCCATGGATTTGAGATTGACGGATGTTTCCACGTATGGTGTATGTTTTTGGTGTTTTTACAGGATGGTAGACATAAATCACTCGTGGAGATGCCATGAGAGAAGGGGTGGCACATCCCCAATGGCGCCGATTCCTTGAAATTGAGGAAGACATTTTCGAAGAAATCTGCATCGAATTCTTTTGCACATTCTCCCTATTTTAGGAGAAGAAGCCTTCCGGAGCTCGTGACCCCAAAGTCATATTCTTTTTGGGCGGTGTATCTTGGGTCATGACTTTTGATGAGCTTTCTCAAGAAATGGGAGTAGAGGATGATCTAGGGACTAAGCCCGAAGTGGAGGTCATACTGGATTTCAATGCCATCGCCGCCTACAAGAAGGTTTGCCTCCCGTTGCATCAGCGCCACCGCTTCGATCCAGCCCACACTACAACTACAACACTCATGCTCCAATGTCGTGTCCTCCTTGACTTCACAGCTATGTCTAATGGTGGGTTGCGTGTTCACATCAGATCCATCTTAGCCACTTCATTTTCCAAGGACATTGGCAATAAGAGGAATGAGATGATGTACTTGGGACCTTTAATCCCCAAGATAGCATGGCATTTCAAAGTTGACTTGAGTGGCTACACGAAGCAGGGGCACTCTAGCCGATTCTGGGATGCGACGTTGAGTGCCAGGCGGTTTCTCAACGTCTTTGGACCATACCGATACATTGAGGGTCTTTTTAAACCACTAGGTCTTCCTCCTCCCGAGCAGCCGGCTACTCGAGCCTGAGGTCGCCGCCGCCGTCGTGCCGTACCACCACCACCATCAATATCAACATCAGCTGGAGTCGGTTCCTCATCCGGAGTCAATTTTTGGACCGAGTCACCCACCTTGAGGAGCAGGTCATCGGAGTTAACACCCGACTGGATCGATTCTCCAACCTTCCGGTTCGGATTGCCCACAAGCAAGGTGTCCTGCCAGGACAGTGAGAGGTAGTCAACCGAGTGAGACATGTGGCAGAGCTGATTTCTTTCGCCCCACTTCTCCACTTGAAACTCTGAACTCTTTTATTTTTCTTTTCTTTTCTTCAGTGTGTGACATAGTACTTTTGTGACCCTTTTTTTTCTTTTCATCGTGATGTTTAATATTTTTATGTGTAATAACCTCGCCTTGAGTGAGAATGTGTTTGTGTTTTTGTGTTTACTTCTCCTATTTGAATCTCAAATCTCCTACCCAATTTCGTCCCAACTTTCACTCGCCGAGCTATGCGATAACATTGTTCTACCCCCTATCTTACGCCATTGGGGGCATTGTCAAGCTTAAGTGTGGGTGGGGGTAGATTATTATTATGCTTGTGTGTGTGATTGAGTGCTTGGAGCCTAGTTGTATGCCCAAATTTTCAAAATTTGAGGGCTCCAAGCATTGCATGTTCATTGCGACCGGTTTGGGGGCAGAATCTTATGATGATTGAGAATTGCATTAGGTTGGTGCAAATCTTTAGTTCTCATATGTGTGCAAATGAATGGATGTCTTGACTTGATTACTCTTTGATTACAACTGTCATGCATCGAATTGGTGAAATTGGAATAGTCAATTGGGTGATTAGGTGGCCAGTGAGATTTGTGTCGATCGTGTTCTTTATGTGTGATTAGATCCCTCTTAACATGACGTGTAACGTTCAACGTTGTCACTAGTGATTATGATGGAGACATAGGATTAGTCGACGCCCAAAAGTTGATTGTCCCAAAACATCTTATCCCCTAGTCAACCCCTTTGAGTCGTGTGACGTAGGGTCGTTCTAATGTTAGGAGCTTTGTGCTTTTTGAGCTTAATGGTGATGGATAGAACGACCCTTCCCCTTCTTCGTGTCTAAATGTGAGTCATCCTTGTGTCTCGGAGCTCTCGCTTTTGAGCTCCATTGAGGTTCTACATAGGTGGACTTTTCACGGTTCTTGCTAGGAATGAAAAGATAGTGATGGAGGAATTTCTTAATAGAGAGCATTGTTCGTTAAGTGCTAAGTGGCATGTGTTTAGCTTCCTAGTACTCCCCTCGAAAAAAAAAGAAAAAAAAGGAAAGTAGAAAGAAAAGAATCGAAAAAGAGGTAATAAACGGGGGTAAATAAAAGATAGTGAGTTTACCAAAAATGATTATGTGTATGCTCTAGAAAGGGTTTCTTCGCACTCAAGCCGTTGGAACACCTAAGTGTTTGTTGACCTCCTTCACTACTATGATTGAAATGTGGATAGAAAGATAGGTCGAGGAAGTGTGTTTGAATGTAGTTCGTGGTTGGTAATGTTTTGGAAAAAGGAGAGTGTGGTGTTTGGCCGATGCTAGTGGTCGTTGATTGTAGGAAAGGTTCTAGTTGAAACCATGGAACCTTCGGTTTTAGGTTGAAGATGTGGAACCTCGTGCTTTGCTTACCACCACCCAAAAGGCCTTTTCCCCATGTCCAAGACCATTTCCATTCATTTGAACCCGTGTCTAAGACCTCCGAACAAGCTAGTGATGACAACCGTCTTGTGAACTCTTTCGTTTAAAGGTTGCCGCTGTGGTGAAGAAATGATAGCGCTGAGTGTTGATGATTGTACACATCTTTTGCTCAAGGTCTTGACCCCACTGGTCGAGAGTGAGTGATTCATTCACATTTTTGCATGTTCATATCTTATCCCGGCGAGGACCTATGTTGCCCATTCGTTTGTTCCGCGGATTTGAACTCTATGAATGGTTGGTTGTGGTTGGTGAGTATTCATAGTTGGTTGTGGTTTGTCGAGACTTGTATTGATTGGTGAACAAGGTGAGAAATTTTGGTTTGCACGCTCTTAACGCATTCGAATGTCGTTTGTGGTGAATTTCGATATTGCTTGTAACGGTTCATGTGTTGATGTCCAATAGCCATTGAGATTCACCCGCCTTGAACCTTTTTTATATGTCCCCAAGTTATCTTGTTAGGTTGAAATATTATCTTGTGTTTAATTGGTTTGCTTGGGGATAAGCAAACATCTAAGTGTGGGGGAGTGATTCAGGTCTAATTGTACACATTTTGCCCCCATTTTACTTAGGCATTTGAGGTAGTTTTACCCCGTGGGGTTTGGTTTTATGCTAGGTTGTGGTTGTTTTCAGTATGTTTCAGATCCTAGAAGGGAAATCAACCCATGGAACGAATGTTGGACGAAAATGCCAAAAATCGGTCTAAAGGGAGTATTCAGCAGCAATTCACGGTGGAGACCAACAGATCACAATCAGCTAGACCATGAAGAGGGAGCGTAGGGCGTGAAGCGCAGAGGAACCAAAGAAGAAATTGCATCTCGCGGACCTAAAGGAGTTCAGGGTCGCTAAGACCGTGAAAATCTGACCTATTCTATGAACATAAGTTCCAGAGAGCGCTATGCACCTCGTGGGCCTATTCCAGTTCACGGTCTCCAAGACCGTGAACATCAAATCCAGACCGTGAAGATGAAATGACACACTTTTGCTTCAGATCACGATTCAGGCCAAATGTTCACGGTCGTGAACTGCTGTCGATTTGGATATATAAGAGGGCTCAGCTAAAAGAAAAAATGGGGAGAACCTACTGAGAGAGACTTCTTCTTCTTCTTCTTCTTCTTCTTCTTCTTCAGATTTCTAAAGTGAGAAAGTGACGAACAAGAGGAGAAGAGAAATTGGGGTTTCCTCCAAGAGCAAGGTTTTGGGAATTTCTTCCTTCAAGGTTGATATCCATATCACAAGGAAGAAGACAAACATCTTGATGATTGTTTTCTCTCCTCTCCCATGTGTTTTCCCTTTACTTAGCATGGAGTAGTCCTCCTTTTCACTTGGGTGTTTGTAAACCCTAGCTACAATCATGTGCCCCTTGTAATGCAAATTCCTTCCCTTTCCATTAAAAAAGACAACCATAGCCTGATAAAATCGAATTTCACAGGGATAATAGTATGTATTAAGCCAGTCTAACCCCAACACCACTTCATTTGATCCTAGACTAAAGATCTTCATGTCAAAAGTGAACTTGTGATCCTGCATTTCCTAGCAGAAGTTCTTGCAAACCAATGTACTAGACAACAATGTTACACATGCTAACTTCACTCTCAAAGGAGTTGCAGGATCCAGCTTATAGTTCAAATCCCTACCTTTATTCTCACTCAAGAAAGTATGAGTGCTTCCAGTGTCAGTCAACACAAAAATCTGATCCTTCTCAACCTTCCTTTTTACAATAAGTGAGCTTGATAAACCACCACTACTAAGAGTTTGCATTGATACATCAACCAATTCAGGTAGTTGTTGCTCAAGGATAACCTTCATATGTTCCTCCTCTTCCAACTCACTCCAATCCTAAGTGCTAGAACACATGTATCATCAGCTTGAATGGCATTCAACTATCATCTGGCCTCACAAAACATGACCAAAGTAATAACACTCTCCACATTTGTAACAAGATCGTTTAACAAAGTTTCCCATTGGAGGTGGGGTGTTATTCTTCGAGGCAAAAGGGTATCTAGAACTAGAGGCCTCCCGCTTCCTTGCTCCAGTGCAGCTGGTGTGACAAGGGCATTGGACACAAGATGAAATGTAGGGTGACAGCCTTTGAATTTCTTCCTCATTGCTACATTGGAGGCTTCCTCTAATTTTTCCAACCGGAAGTCAAGATCTAATGATTGAGGCTCCATCATAGAAACCACCGATCTTAGTTCCTCTTCTAATGCACTAATAAAACTCGCTATAAACTATGCCTCTGATAATTATGGATTATAGCACATCATTTGAGAACGTAGCTCCTCAAATCATTCACTGCTTAATCTTATTAAACTCCCCTAGTATACCACACAAGACCAATCGCTGAAACGATGACAAATTCCAACTACGAACTCAGTCCAAATCAACTCTCGGTGGCCAAATTTTCATCCTTCAAACCAAATATCCACACATTTCTCGAGGTATTTGATCATCAAGGATCTCATAAATATCGAACAATTTCTCACATTTTCTAGGATTTACGCCATTGAACGAAGGAAAATCCAAACGAGGGTGCTGATAAGGAGTATTACCTCGAGGAGGAATGAGATATTCTCGCTTTGCACATTGGATGAATTTGACCCAACTCCAATCGGCGTATTAGTTCTTCGAAACTTCCTTTGAGTCTATCGAAATGGTCATTGACACGACCTTCCAATCCATCCAAAGTCCAAACGACCAGTAAGAGTAACGGATTGATGCAAATGAGCTTCAGATGTGGCAACGAGATCGTGCAATTGATCGATTGTCATCGCCATATGCTCTTCCAAAGTAGTGACTTGGGTACGAATTCCTCCAAACTCATCGGCGCACTTAGTGATGAATGAATTGAAGCTTTCATGTAGTCGTGCCATCGTAATTTTGCCAATGGAAGGCTCTGATATCACTTTGTGTCACCCAAGGATGATTGCATAAGAATCTTGGCAAGAATCGATGGAATCGGCAACGGAGGAACATAGTTACAGGAAGAAGTAGAAGAAGAAGAATACATAGTAGAGAGGGCAAGGTTCAATAAGGTGGTAGGCGTAAGGCGGGAGTTCACACTTTTTTAAAATGTTTAATAACTTCTTTAACACTTACCAATAAGAAAATTAGCAAGTTCATAGAATCATATCTCAATAGTTGACAATAAAAAAATTTTAGCTCACAATAAATAAATATTTCTAACATTTTTCTTTTAATTTACATATCTATATGGGTCAACTTACCTCAACCCACGCCCGTGAAAAATTACCCGACCTAGATTCGGCCTGTCACGGGGCAAGTATGGGTATCGAGATACCCACCCCGAACCTACACCATTGCTAATTTGCTACACTTACCCATCCAGAACTTCCCATGCGTGATTCCATACCCATATATATTACCACCTTTGCAGTGAAAATCAAAATTTAAAACTTAAAAACTTACTCTTTTACTCTCTTATTAGGTCACCAAAACGCTTCTATATGTAGAATAACACTTTTTCCCTTACAAGTATAATAAAATTTATGCTTTAAAACTTAT